TTAGCACTGTAGGATCAGCACTTTGAACCACAAAGTAGGAAGTTCAAACCCACCAGCTGCTCCTTAGAAACAATATACAGGGTCATTATGAGTAGGAAGCGACATGACCGCAGTTAACAACAACAGCAACATACCGAGTCTAAATAAAATGAAGCCTTGATTTAGTCAATACAATCACTGCACCCAGTGTTGTCACCAAGTGCAAGCGTCTGTATTTACCTTCCAAGCAGCTTGTGCCATACTCCAACCTGGTCTATCTGCCACTGGTTTTTCCTGCTCAGTAGTTGAAGCCTGCATTATAACCTATAAAGAAAGTGTTTAGCACACACTAAATTGGTGGAATCTTATCAGTAAGGCCGTGGTAACTAGAGTACTGCACAGTTTGATACGCTCTGTGTCTCTCTGAACTTTGCGTTGGAGTTGTACATGGAGAAGTGTTGAGTTACTTCCTGGCACTGTGATATACTTCAGTAAAATAAGAGATTAAATGACAAAACACCAATATTACAAAAACTGTACCTTAATTCTGCATTTCAACTCTGCTCCTGACAATTTGCTAAGGATCAGAGTAAGTGTTAAGTTAGGTGAAAACTATTCCTCTTACATACATTAGTATAGAATTTCTTTATAAAATTAACATTTCTTGTTGTTTGTTCTGTATGTAATTTCCCTCTTTTCAGTATTTCCCCATTCTACATCAAGTAAAAAAGATGAAAAAATAATAAAGAAACCCTTAACCAGTATATTGCAATCAATACCTAGGTTTTGTTGTTATGTGCCGTGGAGTCGGTTCTGACTCATAGCGACCCTGCGTAGGGTTTCCGAGGCTGTAAATCTTTACGGGAGAAGAAAGCACACGACTTTGAAGTTAGCAGCCAGATTCCTAACCACTAGGCTACCAGAGCTCCTTGGTTTTAAGAGATGATAAAATGGAACAGGCTGTTTAATGGTGTGGATTGCTAACAGAGAGGTATCTTCCTTTCCAATACATGAAACTTTGAAAAGGTTAGGACCCAAAAAATGTTCCATCTGCAAGTTATGAGAAAGTCTTCTCTTTAATACCAAATCACAGCAATTAACTTGCTTTGCTATTTTTATTTAAATTATAGTCCACATGGTCATTTATTGCATGCCATTTCTGTTCAGTTAACTTGTCTTAACTAATGTAAGCTCTCAACAAGTAAGACCATCTTCTTTTAAAGTCATTTTTATAAATGCCAAGTATGCACTAGATGCTCCATAGATATTTATTAATGCTAATAACCAGGAAATCCCAACAACACAACTTCATGAGTATCTTTTCATTTAGTGAAATAGCCTCCTTATGCAATATATTGTGCTATAAAGCACAGAAGGAAAAGATGATGTCACATTTAGTAAAGCTTAGATATAATGACAAATGTCCATCAACCGATTTTGTCTTGATTTTCATTAAAGGACAGTCCCTGAAATAATTAGATGCTAGTCTCAATACCTTTAAAAGAGGATTTGTTGGATGTAGAAAATGCTTAATCGTTTCATATTTGTAATATTTTTCCACGATCAAATGATGCATTTTAAGAAGTGATAAAAATCCTTAATGAGAATTAGCAGTTAAATAAACTAAACAGTAGTTTGAGAATAGAAGTGTCCACATAAACACAGTCTATTAGTTGCCTGCGCATTGAAGATACTTATCAGCTCAGGGACCTTAAGAGTTAAATATGTAATCAACCCTTTGAGGACCAAATTGCTCTGTCTCACATGGAAAAAAAGAGTAACATTCAGTGAAAATTAAGGTTCTCAGTTGGTCATTTATCATCTTAAAGGCATATTTTATTATAAATGTCAATTCCACAAAATTATGTGTCCTGCAATACATAATTATGTTCAAAATTACATTTGAAATCTATTATTAACAGTTAACAGTGAACATTCTTAAAATAGTTATTACACTTGGCCTTAACACAAAACGCAATAATGGAGGTATTTTAGGGAGTTAAAAGCTGCAAGGCATTGGCCTCTGAATACAGTCACTGCAGGTGTGTTTCTTAATGGGCTGTTAATTTTATACAGGGTGAACACAAAGGACAGAGACCATGTGTGTTTTTAAACTGTGTTTGGTGTGGAGAAGGAGTTGATGGCTGAGAAATAGTTAGGTGGTGTGAAATGAGGCCAAATTGAACTTTTCTTCCTGAGGTGTAATCCTGGTTGCTGAAAATCAAGGCAAATTAATTTACATCCCTCCTCTTGTATCCCATCCTTCCCACCATCACATAACTAAGAATGCCCCAGAAGCCTATTTTAAATGAGTAAATTAGAAAATATGGCAAAAAATATATAAGATCTGATTGTCCAAATTCAACATCCTCCCTCACAAATGAGTTCCTGCCTGAGTTTCCTGTATTTGCTACTAAACAAAAAATAAAACAGACAAAAACAAAAAAACCCACTGCCATCAAGTGGATTCTGACTTATAGTGACCCTGTACAGGGTTTTTGAGGCTGAAATCTTAACGGCAGCAGGCAGCTTCTACTATCTCCTGAAGGGCAAGCAGCCGGTGTGTTTGAACTGCCAGCCTTGCCTTTAGCAATCCAGTGCTTATTCTACAGTGGCACCAGGGCTTCTGTTAAAACACCCATACACAAAACTATGAAAGCAGTTTTGACTCTCCCTTAGCACGGCACCTAGTTTTCCTTAGAACTTTGCTTCTCAAAGTGTGGACTGTGGATCATATGGCACACGCTTACTCGGGAACTTGTTAGAAACACCTGACCTCAGACCTATTGAATCAAAATTTGCATTTTACCAAGAATACCCCCTTCTCCTCATGATTCTTATGCACATTAAAGTTTGAGACACACTGTTAGAGAATCTTCCTTTACATTGTTGCTCTTACCTTCTTCCTCCTTTTTATTCACACTACATTCTAAAATATTTTTGTATTTGTATTTTGTATTATTCATTAGAATGTACTTTCTTCCACATGTGCTCTTTGGGCCCATCTATGTCACATCATTTCACCTGAATTTTTGACCCCTATTGGGATCCTGGTGTAGCACTGTAGGATCAGCACGGGGCTGCTAACCACAAGGTTGGTAGTTCAAACCCACAAGCCACTCCTCAGAAACCCTATACAGGTTTGCTAAGAGTTGTAATCAACTCAATGACACTCAACAAGTCCTGTATCAAGGAGTATAGTGGTTGAATACTTGGCTGCTAACCGAAATGTCTGTAATTCAAACCGACCAGTGGCTTCAAGGAAGAAAGATGTGACAACAATCTGTTTCAGTAAAGATTTAAAGCCTTGGAAATCCTATGGGGCAATTCTATTCCATCCTTATAGGGTGGTTATGAGTCAAAATTGACTCCACAGCAATGGGTAATTCCTATATTATTCTAATGTCTCCCTTCTCTAATTCTGCTACCTTCTGCCTCAAGAATAGTCTTTTAAATATATCTCAAACTGTCTCCTCTTCTTACAACCTTTAATGGCTTTCTACCCTTTACTAAATAAACCCTTTTGACTAGGATGCAAGGCCTTATAAAATATGATGCTGTCTTTCCATAAACCCTATTTGTGACTACTCCTTTCTCTTATATATACATTTGTGCTCTTGCTATGTACGTTCCTTACTCTTTATTTTGGTTTGAGGCATTCCTTCCAGGTGGAACACTCTAACCAGTGTTGTTGTGTACAATCTAGTCAATTCCAACTCACAGCGATCGCAGAGGACAGCGTAGAGCTGCCCCCATTGACTTTTCTAGACTCTAATTTTTCTAGAAGGAGCCGATATTGAAGTTGTTAAGCACTTTGGTACTAAATACGAGGTCGGCAGTTCAAATCCACCACAGGAGAAAGATGTAGAAGTCTGATTCCATAAAGATTATGGAAACCCTATCAGGCAGTTCTGCTCTGTCCTATAGGGTCCCTGAGTCAGAATTGACTGGACCACAGCAGGAGCAATTTGACAAGTCTTTTCTCCCACAAGGCTGCTGGTATGTTTGAACTGCCAACGTTTTGGTTGCAACTGAGAACTTGACTATTGTACCACCATAGCTTTTCCCCAATAGTTCTGTTGAAATCCTTTTCTTCTTTTAAAGACCATCTTCTTCAGTGCTACCTCCCCTAATAAGCCATTTTGGGATTGAACGATTCAGTCATCAATAAATGTATATCGATCACATATTATTTGACAACATTGTTGTTGTTATTTATTGCTGCCTAGTCAGTTCTGACTCATAGCAACCCTGTGAAAGGGTGGTGGTTGTTGTTGTTGTTAAGTGCCATCGAGTCGATTCTGACCCATAGCGAACCTGTATAGGGTTTCCAAGGAGCAGCTGGTGAGCTTGCACCACTGACCTTGCAGTTCAAGCCACTTTGCTGTCTGACGCATTAGCCCACAGGATAGTAGGGATAAAACAATGAGGAAAAACAGCTACAATTCCTGCCCTTGTGGATCTTATATTCCATTGGGAAAAAATAGGAAATGGACAGTAAATAAGTAAAATATACTTTGATAGTATGTTAAGTAGTGATAAATACTAAGGAGAAAAATAAAGAAGGATAAACATAATAGAAACAGCTCAGGATGAGAACTATCCTCCAGTTCAATACCTTTCCCTCCTTTTAATGGCCAGAGCACCTAAGTTTTGGTACACTGTGACTATTTGTCCTGTTTGTCCTATTTCCTCTGCTATATACAAAGCTCCTGAAGGATAAGAGCTATCTCTTTCTCATGTTTGTATCTGCTGCAGCTCCCCAAACAGTGCTCAATAAATAATGGTTAAGTGAGTCAAATTGATTGAAATAAAAAGGAACAGACCAGTCTAGTGGTTGATTAAGGAAGTCTCTTTGGAAAACATTCACTTTGTGTAAGATTTGAAAGATGGGTACGGTGATGAGGAAGGAACAGCAGAGTAAGTTAAGTTTTGATAGATCTATTGTTGAAAAACTAAAATGCATCGCTTTATAAATTAACATTAATGTGACCTATAATTCTCTCTTTGTTTAAAATCAGTGTTTCAGAAGGGACGTGCAATAGACACCGGAGAGGTTGACATCGGTGCACAGGTCATGCAAACAATCCCACCTGGCTTATTCTGGCGTTTCCAGATTACAATCCACCATCCTATATATCTGAAATTCAATATTTCATTAGCCAAGGACTCTCTGCTGGGAATTTATGGCAGAAGAAACATTCCACCTACACACACTCAGGTATTTGATATTATGGATATTTTTCTTGAACCCTTTTAGAAGGTGGTGGGATGAACAATTCATGGTTTGTGATTTGCAATGTATGTGGGAGTCACAGATGAGAGCAGGAAATCTCTGTAATGAACACATTTTCAGAATAATCACATTCAAGGTAAAGAAACAAAATGATTTTGAGGACTAAGTAATGGTATTTAGCAGAACAGATTAAGGAAGCTGGATTTCAGAAAGTATTATTGAAACTTCAACTGCAGCAGGCGGATCAGAGTCCTTCTCAGCCTCCTCATTTAGCTTTGCCATGCACACACCTTTCTCTGCTTTTATACAGCCATTCTTCCTTCTCCCAACTGAAAGCACACAAATCAACCAGGAACTGATGGGAAATGAATCTAAAAGGCAGGTTTTGTCCTACATGTAGAAATTATATGTAGAAAATTTTCCTGGTTAATATTAATAATAATTCAAATATACAAAATAGTCTACAGATTACATAGCCCTTCTATATACTTTTGCCCCCTTATGTCCCTTATTTCCTATTATCTCTTTCCTGCATAAAATCATTTGGGGCTCTCATACATCAAAGAAGTAATGAACCTCCAACTCTGACTTACATATAACCTTTAGTTATGAATCAACTTCCTTAAAGCCTGACCTCAGAAATATACTTGAAAAACTTGGGGTACGTTCAGTGTCTCATAATAATAAATAGGTGCTACTGTGTAACACACATCAAAATATTGTTATTATTACTTTATTATGTTAACAATACTTTAGTGCATCTGCAAGTGTCTTTTAATGCTTTTTATACATAGAAAGGTACAATAAATATTAAGACACACATTGGACCAACAAACATTAGTATGAACTGTACATAGCTGTTCTGACTCACATACAAACTCGACTTAAAGACAGATTTAAGCACAGAAGTCATTTGTAATCCAGGGACTGCCTATATAACCATCTGGGGCTTGCTTGCTTTTCACTGGATGAAATTATACTCAAAACCTTTCCTCTGGATCAGAATAGGCAGAGAATTAGAATGCTATTCAAATTCGACACTTGCAAAATTAAATGTTGACTGAAACATGTATCATGTGCTTGTCCACTGACTGGAAAAAATTGGAGTCCTTTTAATATTTCAATATGTTGCCACAAAGGTAGTAAATTATGATGACTTTTAAAAACTGTGGAAATGTTGTTAATTTGTAGAGAAGGTCACAGTAACATTTCTGAAAAGAATATCTTTTCACATAGCCTTTATTACACAAAAAGAATGAAGCTTCTCTTTGATAACACTAATAATATAATACTAAATCTTAAAATACTAAGTATCATTAAAGAATTTTATTCCTTGGATTATCTTAAAACAGTTATTTTAATAATAAAAAGCTGAAAGGTTTACAATTGTAAATATGAGGGGTCTTTTTTAAAATTAATACTGTACTTTGGGTTTTAAATATACTTAAGAATTAATAACTTCCATTTCTATTTTGTCTGTCTCTAAAACAAATAAACATGAAATAGGACAATTGAAGTTAGAGATGTTTGTCAGTCCAGAAATAGAAATAATGGCTCGTATTTTTTATGTTTGCATTTGTTCCAGTTTGATTTTGTAAAACTCATGGATGGAAAACAACTGGGCAAACAGGACTCCAAGGGCTCTGATGATACCCAGCAGTCCCCTCGGAACCTGATCTTAACCTCATTGCAGGAGACAGGTTTCATAGAGTATATGGACCAGGGGCCATGGTACCTGGCGTTTTACAATGATGGGAAAAAGATGGAGCAAGTATTCGTGTTAACTACAGCAATTGGTAAGCTGCCGTGTCTGTTATTTTGAATTGACATTATAGCTCTAAAAGACACAATCAGGTATAAAAGTGATACTGGTGTTATTTAAGTTTATTGATCATTCTGCCATGAAGTCATTATTCAGGATTGGTCACTATGAGAAAGGTTTGTATTGTTGTCACTGATGTTGTTTAAATGCTGATTAAGATTTTGAAAATGTTTCATTCTTAGCTGCTGTTTCAAGACACTTGCCATGCACCTCTTTTATAAAAAGGCGCTCAACAGGAACAATTATGTGGAAAACATTATTTCGAAAACTACATAGATGAACAACTTCAGTGAAGAAGGGAATACGCAAGAGAACCCCTATTAATTCAAGTTCTCTTATAAACAGAAAAGCAAACAGATGCATTTTAAAATGCAAAAACTAATATCACTACAGTTCTTCTTTAGAAAAACTGATTCTAGAACCATGAGAACTTCAAAAACATATATAACAGTATTGAGAGAAGATTCTTAAGGAAAATAATATGGGTCATGGAAAGTCTTTTAGAATTTTTTCATTTGAAAATCATCAAAATGGCTCTCTTTCAGTGTGCTCAGGGCCTTTTAAAATGTGTTCTTTTTAATACAATGCCTACACATACTCTTATTCACGCTCGCCCTAGTTGGTGACATCTCACTCCTTTATCACTTTTGGATGAATTCATTCCCTATGACCCTTTGTGTGAATAAAGCTGAGCTCTTTAGCAGTTTTAGAGCTCTGAGGGTAAACAACTCATATACACAGTGTTTTATTGCATGAATTTTCCTAAAACACATGTCTTTTAAAAGAAAGGAAAATATTTTACAGCTGTTGGTTTTCTATACAACTCTCACCACTTTATCCTTTAGTTAACCTGTTCAGCCATATGTTTAGGAAGATGTGTTGACTGTTAATAGATATACCATCTGTTCTTTATAACAATTATGTTCTATTTTTACTTGATGCTGAAGACCTTGAGTCAGTAGAAAATGGTATTTCAGCTATAAGATTATCAAAAACTTTCCTCTAACGTAGTCACAAAGGCAATAAAGAATGCACTGATGATTTTTCCCTTGAAGAAAGTTCCACTGATCTTAAATCTTGAAAAGACGAAACAATTGTTTGTTAAATTAGAAAAAAGATAAACAAGTAGTCTAAGTCTTGTCACTCTTTCCCACTGTTACACACTCAGTGAGGCAGGCTCAATGGATGGATCTTTCGTAATATTTTACTGTCAGGACCTAATTTTCATAATGCAAATGGCAATTAATTCTAAGAATTAAATGAATTTTTACCTAAGAAGTTAGAAGATCTAAAATAGGTGAAGAAGATTTTCTTGCTTCCTGTTATCCTAACCCCTAATGAACTGAAGTTTAAACACTAACAAAACATTTGCATCAATTCTGAATCAGAGCAACCCTGTATGACAGACTAGAAGTGCTCCCATAGAGTTTCTGAGGCTGTAAATCTTTACAGAAGATTACCTCATCTTTCATTCTTGGAGCTGCTGGTGGATTTGAATCTCCGACCTTGTATTAACAGCCCAATGTTTAACCCAGTGCACCACCAGCCCTCCTGAACCAAGTCATTAACATTTTTAAATTCAGTAGACCCAGGAATAAGATCTGTTCCTGGGTCTATTGAATTTTAAAGATACTGACTTTTTATTTTAAAGATCTTGCCTGATCCCTACCTTCTAAACAACAACAACAAAAATAACCTTTGAGATCCAATTCCCACCTTTCAAGTTATCAGTTTCATATGTAGCAATATATTTGCCTTTTCTGGACTCAAATCAACTTCCTTGCTATTTGGATATCTTTTTAAGATTAGAAACAACTGAAACATTTCTCCTACAATTCCAATTAAAAAGAATCCATGCAAATTTCAAATAATGAAAAGTATATGCCATTTTCTCTTTAAATTCTCCCCATTACTTTCTGTTTTTGTCTTTTTAGTTTATCTTAATCATAACCAAAAGAGGCTGATATGTTTTATTAGGGAGCCTGGTGACTCCTTATGATAAGCACTGGACTGCGAACCACAAGGTCTGTAGTTCAAGCCTGCCAGCCGCTCTGCGGGAGAAAGATGAGGCTTTCTGCTCCCATGAAGATGTACAGCCTTGGAAACCCTATTCAGGGTCACTAGGAGTCAGAACCTGCTTGACAGCACATAACAACCACCACAACATATTTGATGAAACATAGTGATGTTTGTGGGAATTCAGCTGTTCTGAGTGTTGCTCATTCATCTAGCTCATGATAATATTGGAATCAGTTGATTGAATTTAACTATACTTGGTCTGCTACTAATAAGAATCAAGACAGTGTTAATAACTAGCATGTATTGAGCTATTTATAGGACCTGACCCGTGTTAATTTTTTTCTAGTAATATAGACAGGATTGTCGATATTCCCTAATCTAAACTATGCAGCTCTGCAACATGATGATATATATATATATATATATATATATATATATATATATATATATATATATAATTTATGGTGTGCCACTCGGCCCCAGGCTCTGTACTAGATGCTTTATATTCTATTATCTTGTCTCATTCTCATCACAAACCTGATAGCACAGATAGAGCGATACTTAGATTACAAATAAGGAAAGGGGAGCCTGTGAAGGGTAGAGAATTTGGCAAGGTCTCACAACTAGAAAGAGTCCTGACGTGGTACTCTAGGATAAGCACTAAAGTGCTAATCTCAAGACAGCAGGTCAAACTCACCAGCCACTCCTCAGAAACCCTATACAGGGTTGCTCTGCTTGATGGCATTTAACAACAACACTAACATAGCCGTCAAGTCACAGCACAGAGGTTTGAGGCTTGCCTGATTCTAAACTCCAGGCCTTTAGACTGTACTAATTTCATAAGTTTGTCCACTGCTTCTCCCATGAGAAAAACTTCCAAGAGAAAATGCATTATCAATGCAGTTGAAGATACCAAGAAGCTTTTGATTCTAGAATAAGAACAGGGTTTTAACTATAGAACTTAAAAATGAGTCTCAACTCTAATGACCTGGAGTCTTGGAAGTAGTTCTGAAGTAAGATTAAAACTCTAGAAGGCAAAGTTTACTAGAGGCCAACATAAATAGAAAAGCACTTAAAAAAAAAAAAAATCACCAGTTATTTGTGTTCCTATTGTAGCCATCTTCCTCCTGGGAATGCCTAGGCTGTCGTCTCAGTGTCTCTTTGATACCCAGTGGAGGTGGACGCTTCCAAATATCTTCTATATTGGCTTCTCTTCTCATTTGCATTTCTGGTGTTCAACTTTGTGCCACAATGTGGGTTCAGGAACAGCTCTTAGATAAGTCAATAAGATGTAGGGATTTTTATTTATTTTGATAGTATATTGTATTAAATATTTTATCAGAATAATTGTATTCCCACAAGACTGCTCCCAAACAGTTTTCAAAAGGATCTGGTATGAAATGAAATTGAAATTAAATTAAGATATACTTACCTTTGAAAGCTGTCCCCATGGCCTCCTACTAACCCAGGTGAAACCCTGTCAATTTAAGCACTGCCACTACTGTTTGGCGCAATAAGGTTGACACATAGAAACTAGAAGAAATAGTTGTTCCACCTCTGAATGAAGAAAAATAACTCCTTGTGCCTTTTCCTAATTGCCTCTTTAAAAAACTGATGATTTTCTGAAAACAGCTAATGTGCTAAGGGGTTAAAAATGGTCATCTCTTTGCCAAAGGTTGCATTCTTGCCATCCCAGTTGCAGTTCCGTAAAAACTGTGACTTGACAATCCAGCTCAGTTTTCTAACACAGGGATCAAAACATTTAAACATTTAAAAGGCCATCTGCAGGTATTCACAGAATGTTGAGAATAATCTCCTCTGCTACAAGTCGGTCTACTAACCTCAAGGTCGACAGTTAGAAACTACCAGCTGTTCTGCGGGAGAAAGATGAGGCTTTCTGCTCCCATAAAGATTGACAGCCTCGGAACCGATTCCAGGGCGCATAACCACCACCACCACCACCACTAACTACCACCATCACTCCATAATAAAGTGGCTCTCCAAAAGGCAACTAAATTTCTTCTCTTTTTTTTTCTAAGAAACCCTCAAATGGACTAAGTACCATTTTCTTCCTCTTGCTTTCATTCTGCCCCATTTCAGAACTCTAAAGTCTAGATCAGAAGGTTTCTAAGTGTGAGTTTGCTGTTTCAAACACTGCTCCTTAAATTTCAGTGAGTGCCTCCAGTGTCCCCCATTGGTGTTTGTTAAAATGTAGATCATTGGGCTCTGCCCTTCTGAGACAGATTCAGTAGCTCTGGAGTGAAGCTCAGCCCTCTTCATTTTAACAGTGTCCAGGTGATCCCATTGATACAGGTCATCCATAGGCCACAATTGAAGAAATGTTGCTTCTTGACCCTCATTATAAATTCTCACTCTCACCGCTCAATGGAAGAAACTAAGACCACTTCCTATAATAGCCTTCGAATTGGAAATCGTTTATCAGAGTGAAACTTGGCGAAGCAGATAATTTGGATTGAAAAAGGAAAAATTGGTATTTAAGGAAATTGTAATTGTAATAGACCAGAGAGTAGAAACTCAGAATCCTAGAGTGCTAAGTATGAAAATGCATAAAAGGGCATAATGAGAAAATGATACAAAACTGCAAGAGTAACATTTGTTGTTACCTGTCCTTAAGTCAGCCCCGGGCTCACTGTGACCCTGGTCACAATGGAACAAAATGCTGCTTGGCCTAAGCCAGCCCCATGATTGGTTGTGAATAGAACCATTGGGATCCATAGGGCTTTCATTGGCTGATTTTTGGGAGTAGACTGCCAAGCCATTCTTCCTAGTCCATCTTAGTGTGGATGCTCCACTGAAACTGTTCAGCATCACACTAGCACACCATCCCCCTCTGCACATAAGGTGCATTGGCCACATCTCCCACATGTAGGGTGAACATTCTGGCATTGAATCACCACCGCTCTGAACCAAGAGTGTAAAGGATAGATTCCATAATATAATAGTTTGTGGACTTAGAATTTGATATTACTATAATCAAATACAGTTATAAACTACAAATCATTTTCTCTGTCATTGCCAGCCTTTCATCTGTATAACTTTATATCCTGCCACTCAGGCTACTTACCACAAGATTTCTTAAATTTCTGTTATACTGCACATCTCTCTGTTACTACCTATGGGCAACTTCAAAGCCTTTGCAATTCCCCTGAAACCTATTCTTCTCTAAGAATGGATTGAGAGGAAATTAGTGGCAGAGCACTGATAAGCATTTACAGTCAAGAAAGCATTTCTCAACAAAATACTTAGGTTCTAATGCTTTTAGTGGTGGTGAATTTAATATGAACACTTACTTTAAAAGCCTTCCATTGTCACTTATTAATGAAAATGAAATACTGATTATCATATTTAAGCTGTCAAGATAGTAGATTAAATATTCTAAGTTGCTAGAGAAGAAACTTTATTTGCTACAACCTAAATTTGAAAAATAAATAGTAGACTTAGTCTTCTGGGATGAATTTTTAAGCCCTTTTGCTTTTGAAAGATGTCCTATAATCCTAGTGCATTTTTAGCTTGATCAGGAATGTCTCACAAGAATACAATTCATCTAGACCCTTTATGCACTTTAAGAGATGAAGTTGGTTTTTAGATCCACTCTTGAATAGCCAATTCAGCAAAGGCAGGACCCTTTTAATAATTTGGTGCTGCTTGTAACATCTTATAGGAGCCTTTGGCATCTGATTTTATGTAGTAAGTGCTTCAAAGACAGAAGAGGGCAAGATTGTTATAGGCTCAGAGTTCCTGCAACTTAAAAAAAATAATAAAAGTTTGACTCTACAGCCTTGAGGTGTGCTCACCCCCTCCCCCTTTTCTCTGTATGAATAGAAATCATGGATGACTGTTCAACCAATTGCAATGGAAATGGAGAATGCATCTCTGGCCATTGTCATTGTTTCCCAGGATTCCTTGGACCTGACTGTGCGAGAGGTAATGTAGCTTTGTCATTCTGATGGGTTTCAGGAAATACCTGTCATTTGGGGACTCAGAAATAGTAGTAGCAGCAGCAGAAACACCACAATCGCCAACAGCAGCAAAAGCCCCTGTTGCCACCACTAAAAGCTGAGTGCTTACTATGCCAGCAACTGTTGTAAACACTTTGTGTTACTTCTTTTAACACTTACAAGAGACTGGTGAGGTAGGTCTACTATGAGGGGGCTTTGAAAGTTCAAAGAAAAATTCCATTGTCTTTTAAAATTCTATTTTCCCCCTTGTATTATCTCAGTTTTATGGGCAACGAAATGACCTCAGAGAAGTTACGAAACTTCCCCAGGGTTACTTAACATCTGGAGTTTGTACCTAGATTATCTGACCTGGGCACTCCACAATACTTATTTCCTTGACACACTAATTCATAAAATAATTCACATAATTCAAAAGTGGGCAAAGACGGTCACTGTGTACACACACCAATGTAAAAGGGACAGATAATCACCAAATGGATAAGTAATCTAGAAAGTAACGACGAAAACCTTGGTAACCTTTACTGTTGCCTAGGCTAGCCCATAGTTTAATTCTGGAAAAGCTTTAGGTAAATCACACCATGCTTTCAATTAATACTTTAGAGAGGCTTTCTGCTCATTTTCAGTATGTTCTTAAAGATTCCAGTCTTTAATTGCAGGTTTCTTAGCTATTCCATTTTTTTTAGAGTAAATTCTAAAGGATTTACTAGGTTACCAGTATTATGATATATTTAGGGGCAAGGAGGAAGCAGTGACTAGTACTAAAAAATGCATAAGACAAAAGATAGAGTACCGTCTTCGACTAAAGGTATGCACAAAGTGTTATAGGAGGCAAAATTTATATAGCATGTATCTATTTAAATGCACAACTATTTAGCAATAACACTGTATAATATAAATAGCTTCTTGTTTATTTGTTTTTAAACTTTCAGGTTTTGCTTCCTAAAAGTAACATATACTAGTTTGAAGAAGAAAAGCCATAAGATAGAAAACTCTTAGCTTAAAATCGTAATAGTAGTCATGATAATAACTGTTTAAGAGTATAGTGGAATCAAAAGCAAATATTTGAAGTACTTTTTCCACTCTGAGGATACTTTTATAATTTATCTTTGCCCTGCTCCCGTAAGAGGAAAATGTCTATGTTTGTAATCATGAACATGTTCCTATTTAATAAAGGGTAAGACAGAAATGGTACCATTTTTTTGCCTGAAATATTATACGAGAATCAATAGAGAATTGCTCTTTGGAGAGTTTGAAAGCATTATGAGCACATTACAAGTTCATTTGCCAACCTTCAGATTCATGTCCTGTGCTGTGTGGTGGGAATGGAGAATACGAGAAAGGACACTGTGTCTGCCGGAATGGCTGGAAGGGGCCAGAGTGTGATGTTCCAGAAGAGCAATGCATTGACCCAACGTGCTTTGGCCACGGCACCTGCATCATGGGAGTCTGCATCTGTGTGCCAGGATACAAAGGAGAAATATGCGAAGAAGGTCAGAGCTCCATTTTAATCTATTGCTTCAGGCTTTCCTCTCACTAAATTATCCAAGGTGTCATTCATTTCATGCTTCTAGTATAGATGCAAGTGGTTTTTGTAAACCCTAAATGCTCAACATCTCCTAATACTCCAGTGAATTGCGGGCGGATGGAGGAGGAGGGGGCCGCTGGGGGAAGCTCAAGTCTCTTGTGACAGTCTCTAATATTAACATGTGGCCAAATCTATGATATTCGCGGCAACAATGAAAAAATGGCATTTTCTCCCTCATTTCTAACACTGTTTTATCACTTGCAAATTTCCATATTGATGATTTTAGGTGTTAATTCATATGCTTTCATTATTATACAGTGCATTATGCTACATGTTACTTTAAAGTACATAATAATATAATATATGCACATTTGGAGCCATTTTGTGAATGTTTTCTTTGGGAGTGATATCTAATTACCATTATTATTATTGGTTTATGTTATTTGTTTTCACATATCTTATGCTGAAACTTGACCTCCATGTCTCAGGAAGCAGACTTACCACTGATGAGTTTCAAGACAATGACTTTATATTAAAATTTACCCCACAGGAGCCTTTACTAAAAATTAACCAAAAAAAAACCAAAACAAGCAAACAAACGAACAAACCCCAACAACCTGTATTTTGAAATGTCAATAGTTTTATCATTTAAAGAGGCACACTGGATAATAAGCTTACTAGTAATCAGACCTTTTTCATGTCACATTTCTCAAACAAGACTGATTTCAGAAATAATATTAAACCATTACCATGGGACATACTCCCATAACAACTATTGTTCAGGAAAGAGGCTGCTGAAAATGCACTATAATTGCTTTTTAAAGATGGCTCATTAAGATTATTACACAGCATTCTAAAGGGTTTAATCTCATTCCACTCCATGAACAAGTAAGACTTTAGCTTTCCTCCTCCAATTAGCAGTAGTAGAATTTTGGTGTGAGGACTGTATCTGTTCTAAGGAATGGCAGTGGGCCTAGACAAGGAACTGGAGGTCCTGAGTTACTTTTGGAAATAGGTTTCATGGTGATCCAACTACAATTATTATATTTCACTTATAAATCCAAATGCTGTATGGACATGCACACTGAACATTGCACCATTTGCAATTCACCATGCAAAACATTTCATCTGATTAATTAAGACCCTTCTAGCTATGAGTTATGGAGTTGTGCTGTGGCGCTCTGGGTTAATGTGCTAGACTGCTAAGTCGCTTTGATTCGCAAGGTCCACAGTTCAACCTCACCAACCGCTCCTCGGAAACCCTATACAGGGTGGCTATGGAACAGAACTGACTTGATGGCACTTAGCAACAATAACAACAAGCTATGAGTTGGAACCATGTCAATTACATTGAACAATAACAACTTTTTAGTTTTAGTGAAGTTAACTTAAATTTGCCTTCTTGGGAATCATGAAGAACATTTCTAAAATAACCAAGATAGCAAAGAAGAATGTGTACCATATTTAATAGTGTAAATGTCTCAAATGCAATAGGAAAGATAAAGTGTTTTAAGTCAGACATCGCAGATCAGGAGCCCACAGTGTATTGATGAATTTTGTTTGGGTTATACAGTGTTGTTGTTGTGTTGTAATGTAACTGATTTGACGAATTTTTAAAACAAAAGAGTGTCGCATATAAATAGTATTTCTTGAACAATGGGAAAATTTGGTAACCATGAACTCACAAAATATGACCTAGAACCTATCCCACCTGAATTTAGGGATCATCTGGAGAACAGATTTGATGCATTGGACAGTAAAGAAGAAAGATCAGAAGTTTTGTTGTGTTATGCATAGATTTGCTATGAGTTGCTATGGACTCGATGGCATCTAACAACATTTTTATATGGTCAGAACCAACTAGGGTTAAGTAGCAACAGTTCCCTTTAAATTAGACTTTTGCCCTCATTTTGCCCTAACATATGCTATTTTTTACACCCAGCCCATTTCATTCATGCATGCTAGCTGCCTGACCCATTTTACCACTTGACTTTGTGCCTCTGATTCAAGTATGACTTACCTATTCATTGAAAAAGGCTTCTTAGTAAAATAAAACTATGGTGGCTGGTGGTGGCAGTGTGCCATGGAGTCCATTCCAACACATAAGGAGCCCTGCATAGGGTTTCCGAGTCTGTCAATCTTTATGGGAACAGAAAGCCTCATCTTTCTCCCGTGGAACAGCTGATAGGTTTGAACTGCTGACCTTGAGGTTAGCAGCCCAACTCATAACCACTACACCATAAAGTAAGCTATATTAAATTATTTTTGGTTTTGTTAGAATGGTTACTGTATTTTAAGACAAGAAAATATTCTATACTTCTGACTTTTCCTCTCCCTCAAATAATGAATTAGATGAACTTCCTAGTGTTTATTTGCTGAGTAAATCAAACTTAAACCATTGCCCTCAAGTTAACTCCAACTCATAGCATCCCTTACAGGACGGAGTAGAACCTCCCCATGGGGTTTCCAAGGCTGTAACATTTACGGAAATGACTGCTACATCTTTCTTCAGTCCAACGGCTGGTGGGTTTGCACTGTTAACTTCTCAGTGCTTAATCATGGGGCTACCAGAGCTCCTATTTGCTGATTAACTCAGGTATTAAAGCATTTTGCTAATGAATCTGAGATCTTGGGCTAAGTATAATGGCAATACTATTGACTATAATAATGCTCTGTTGTACTTACTCTGTTCAGTGCCTACAGCTACATCCTGAAAGTAGGCCAGTCTTGCAAATATAGATAGGCAGCTGGATCAGTCCACTTCTGTTTCTGAAAAAGTAATTCAAGGCATACACTCTTATTATAATGTTATTTTAGTCTCACCTTATTTGTATAGGAAGACTGTTGTTAGGTGCCATCCAGTCAATTTTGACTTATACCAACACCATGTGATAAGGTAGAGCTGCTCTGTAGTGGTTACGAGTCGAGCTGCTAACCTCAAGGTCAGCAGTTCGAAACTCCCAGCAAGTTCCATGGGAGAATGATGAGGTTTTCTGCTCCCGTAAAGATTTCCAGCCTCAGGAACCCTATGCGGGGTCGCTATGAGTCAGAACCACCACCACTACCACCACCACCACTATTCACAGGAGCAGATCTCCAGGTCTTTATCCCATGAAGCTGCTGAGTAGGTTCAAATCACCAGCCTTTCAGTTTTGTAGAACTGAACTGAACTGATGCCCCAACAGGGCTCTTTTAAGAGAAGTCTAGAAATTCGGAAGTCAGACTTTTTCATTCCAGTGGAATGGTCACTCAGTTAAAAGCATAAATCAACAAATACAGAAATCTATGGCCAAAGTAGTTTATTCGTCTGTTAGAATGTGCTAAAAAGTTTTTCAGACTTAAAAAATCAGAGACAAATGAAATTTGGGTCTATGATAGTCTAAGGCATTGAAAATTATGTCACAGTGTCCTAATAAAAGGAGAAGCCATGAAGAAATGACTTTAAGAATTAGGTTTAAAATGTTGTATTTCACTGTGTCTAAGGAATAAATAAGAGATTAGGATAAATTGATCTAAATTTTATGATTTCATGCAACAGTAATCACCTCACCCAATGCCTAGAATAATCCAAACTGAAAAAAAACACATATACATAAATTCCTCCAGGCATAGCAAGTAAAAGTCCTTTCTGAGAACTATGATTCCAATTTCAGAAAGAAGAAGGAATGACTTACCAAAACTCCGTTTTTTTCACAGCCAAGGAATTTCTATTGGAGGCCCATACTGTTCCACCCACCAATTTATGCGGGGGTGCTGCAACACTGTTTACAATTTCACACAGCATATGTGTGGTCTCCTCCTTCTTCTAAATTTAGGTTGCAACCTTTATGACACCCCACCATATTTTTTAAGTGTTAATAATCTTCTGGTTTGAACACAGTATTTGCATGAGTCATTTTATTGCCTAATTAAATCAGCATTGATGATATAACATGAGGAAATCAATGTGAATATCTTAGTTTCATTATCCTAAAATATGCTGGCCACAGCTATTCCCTTTTAACTTTCTCCCCCCTTTCTTTGGACTTTCAGAGGACTGCCTAGACCCAATGTGTTCTAGCCATGGCATCTGTGTAAAAGGAGAATGCCACTGTTCCACCGGCTGGGGAGGAGTCAACTGTGAAACTCCACTTCCTATATGTCAAGAGCAGTGCTCAGGACATGGAACCTTTCTTCTGGACACTGGAGTGTGCAGCTGCGATCCCAAGTGGACAGGATCTGATTGTTCAACAGGTACACTGGAGTCATCTCCTCCTCATTCCTACATTCCCACGTTCTAATTTGTCCTTCCCTTAAAGTGGAGCTTCTTGACATGTGATCTGCATGTCTTTCATGGGTCTTAAGGAGCTTCCAAGTATTTTATAGTATAGTCTTCTACTGTGTTTCCATGTACACTGTGCTGTTACTATGGATTTTGTTCTTTTGTATTTTTCATGGTTACAAATTTGTGCTCAACGTTATGTCCTTATTTGCTCCTCTCCTGCCATCCTTTTATCCATTCCCAAGTTCTATGCAGATTTCAAATATATTTCTCTCCCAGATTCCAATAGTCCTCCAATTCCAGTACCTGCTGGGTATTTCCACTGGTTGTCTCCGCACCCAAAAATACAACTAATCATCTTAGCCTGGAAACTCTACTCCATTTTATATATTGTCATCCATTTACTGCTCCCATAGTATTGCTTTCTTTATCCAATTCCTTACCCTAATATGTTCCATAGTTCTTACTCTGTTATTGAAAACGCAACAGAAACTAATCAAAGTCTCTATTCAGTCTTAAGTTCTACTTCCACCACATATACCTCCTTCTACCAAAGTAATCTGTCTATGTGCTCTCCTTACCACCACCCAAATACATCATTTTTAGAAAGTTTTTTCGCTGCCCTTTCCTCAGCATGGAGTGGTTTTATCTTCCCACATGTGAATATCCAACCCACATACCAAGACAAAGTACAATTTTAGGCTTAAAATGTTTCTTTCCTGATCACATTGACCGGGACCTTCGGTAATCCTACTGTACTCGTTGCTGGTGCTACTGCACCTAGCACAGAAAGTTTGGGGATGTAGATGTTTCTGTATATGACTTGTGTCTCTACATGAATTATAAGCATCATAAATCATGGTACTTATAGTATTTTTTTTTATTAACCGTAGATCATGTGCTCATTAAGCGAGTAGAATTGATAAAGGTAACTCCCACAAGGGGTTCCTAGGTGGCATGAATGAATGGTCAATCATTCAACTGCTCACTGCCTAGAGGTGCCTTAGAAGAAAGTCCTGTCAGTCTGCTCCTGAAAGGTCACATCCTTGAAAATCCTATGGATTTCAGTTCTACTCTGACACACATGGAGTTGTCGTGAGTCGGAATCAACTCAACAGCAACTGATTTGGGTTTTTGTTTTATTTTGTTTTGCTTAACTCTTACAAAGCCTCTACCTCTGAATTTTGTTGAGACTGTAGAATAACATATGGTAAGCAGGAAGGATAGGAACACTAAGGGACTTTTTATACCACTGCATACATCTCATAAACTGAAAAGTCTGGTATCCTATGCTGTAAGGAAACAAGCAAGACTCTCTGCTAAGAGAATATGTTCTGATATCATACCTCACTGAAAGAAAATTGGTTTCCATACATAGAAATAATATGGGAGAGAGGATTGTATTTTATGATATCTGAAAACCACCAAAATGTTAAAGGTAATCTTATAATAACTAAAAACCAAATATAATAAAATCAATCATTTGTATATCTAGCAAATATATGGATGCCTCCTAGGTTCTTGGCACAGTGCTTGGTCACAGACATATAGCAATGAACAAGACAGACATAACCCTTGAACAAATGGAACTTAGTGGTGGAGACACATTGAAAAAGTTATAGAAGGACTGCAGAACTGGTTATCATGGGAATGAATGGAGTTCTCATGTGGCGCTGTAGGATAAGAACTGGGCTGCTCACCACAAGGTTGGTGGTTCAAACACACCAGATGTTCCTCAGAAACCCTATATAGGGTTACTATGAGTCGAAATGGATTAGACAGCCCTTGATAGCATAGTGGTTATAAGTCAGGCTGCTAACCTCAAGGTCAGCAGTTTGAAACTACCAGCTGTTCCACAGGAGAAAGATGAGACTTTCTGCTACCATAAAAATTTACAGCCTCAGAAACCCCATACAGGGTCACTATGAGTCAGAACCAACTCCATGGCACACCACCACCTAACAACAAGAACAATAACAATAATAGATAGCTAACCTGCTTATTAATTTGTTTGCTAAACATTATTAAACACCTTCATCCACCTGTGTGTCAGACTGTTGTGGCGCTATAGGATACGCATTGGACTACTAATGTCATTGTCGGCAGTTCAAACCCACCAGCCACTCCTCAAAAATCCTATAGAGTCATTATGAGTCAGAATAAACTCAACGACACTTAACAACAACAACAACGTCCACCCATGTGTCAGACATAATATCTTGTCCTGGATTTTCAAGTGGTATTAACATTAGTATTATGATGATAAATACTTAGCATAAGAGTTATTATGTATTAGGTAGTATTAAAGTGCTATGTTGTTGTTGTTGTTGTTAAGTGCCGTCGAGTCAGTTCCGACCCATAGCGACCCTGTACAGGGTTTCCGAGGGTGTAAATCCTTTAAAGTGCTATACATATATTAATTTATTTAATCCTCATAGAATCCCTAAGAGGTAAGTACTATAATTTTGCTAATTTTATAGATGAGAAATCTGAAAAGAGAAAGGTTAAATAACTTACCTAAGATCACCCAGCTTGCAAGTGTCAGAGCAAGAATTTGGACTACAATATTCTGGCTTCACAGTGCATGCATTAAATCATGCTTCTATACTGGTCTCTAAGAATCTGTCATCTGATTCACTATCTGTAAAACAGCATCATTGTTAGACTATGACCAGGGCCATGTGCCAAAGAGAACAAAGGAGAGAATGGTAGCTTATTTCTTTAGGAAGAGGCCCTACAGTCAGGCAAGACTTTGTAGATATCTGAACACTTGAATTAACACTAGAAAGATGATTACATGTTTATCAGGTAGACAAGAGGGGGGGAAACATTCCAGGAAGGAGGAGTAGCTTACACAAAGAAATAGAGATGTCAATCGACATGACATATTTGGGGACTTGTAAGTCATTGAGTACAGCTGAAGCCTTGAAGTGTAGAAAGAGATAAAATTGGAGAGGTAGGCAGGGGCCTGAACATGGGGAGTTTTATTTACACCCCATCCAAGGCATTTGTAATTTCTCTTGACACCATAGCAAGCCACTGAGTGATTTGAAACAAATTGCATTTTAGATTGACCAGTCTGACAGCAACTCAGAGAACCAATCAGAAATGATGAACTAAGGATCTAAGAGACAACTGCAGTGATTATTAGTGTATTCCAGGAGCAAGATGGTGTGAAGGACCTGAACTGAAACTGTTTTTGTGAGAATGGTGGAACAGAGACAGAATAGAGAGGAGTAACCATGGGGAATGAGAGTAAAAGCAGAGTCAGGGTGAAAAGAAGCACCATCAGTCACGGGGAGAAAAAAAAAAAGCATGGACTGAAAAATAGGTTTGAGGCAGAAGGCTAGGACAGGATGAGCTCAGTTATGGATGTGCTCGGATGCAGGTGCCTGCAGATGATCCAGGTGGATATGTCCAGTGAGAAGTTGATAATCAAGAATGGGACTTATAGGAGAATCCTGAGCTGGAGACACGTAGTTGGAATATGCAGTTCAGATCACAAGAATACACGTTATCATCCAGGGAGAGTATGAAAAGTGAGAACAAGAAAGACAGAACCCTAGAGAATACCAACATTTTCCATCACAGGGTTCTTAACAATTAGTCAGAAACTTACCTCTTTTATATATGCTTTTAAAAATGTTTTGATTAAATAGTACTTCTGTATCTTATGATTGCTTCCCAGGTCATTCACATCCCTTATTTGTCCTCCCAGATGCCTCAAAGTTGGGTACCACTCATCAGTTACACAAATTCAGATATTAGGGAAAAAATTCAAATATAGGTATGGCTAATGGAATCTACATTAAATTCAACGTAGAGCTTCCCTTTCCGCCTTTCACTTCTACCTCTGAACATATACAGGCATGCACCGGCAAAGAAAAAGAAAAATCACACAAAAGGGGAGGAGGGACTAATATGAACATGCTTCTACATTTGCCCACTTTCTCTGTCTTCCAGATGAAAGTACCCTAAACCCTACCCCACTAACCCTCAACCCAAGCCACCATTATCCATGAAAACAAATCAAATACTGAGCAAAAATGTTCTCCTCATAGACTGTTAGATTTGGATGAAAGAGGACAGATCTTCTAGTTCATTATTTCTTAAATTGCTGTGGCCTCTAATCCACCTACCTTGACATGCCTGAGAATTCGATGGCTAAGAGGCATAGAGGGAGGCAGTTCACCCCAAAGTGTGAGAACCACTTCTTATTTAATTGTTCACTTGCCAAACATTTCTTGAGCACCTACTATATCTCTGTCATCTTTACTGAGTCCCTACTATGTCTCTACCATCTTTACTGAGTCCTTACTATGTCTCTTATTAGCATGTGAGGCAGTAGGATATAAAGACAGACAAAACATAATATCTATAGAGAGACAAATATGAACAAAGGTTTAAAAAACATTACACTAAGCACTCAACTTGGGAGCACAGTGGCTCTAGAGGATAAGCACTAGACTGCAAACCACAAGCTTGGTGGCTTGAGCCCACCAGTTGTTCCACAATAGAATGATGAAGCTTTATGCTCCCAAAGACTTACAAACTCAGTAACTGTATACAGGGTCACTATGTGAAGAAACTGACTCGACAGCAATTAACAACAACAAAGCACTGAACTGCCATGAGGGTGGCAGTTCAAACTCACCAGCTGCTCTCAGAAAGCCTATGCAGGGTCGCTATGAGTCAGAACTGACTCAACAACACACAACAAAAATTGATCATAATAATAATAATAATAAAAAAAGAAGACCCCTAGTGGTACTGTGGGTTAAGCCCTCAGGAACCCTATACAGGGTTGCTATGAGTTGGAACTTGTACCAAAAGGAAATGGTTAATGTTCAACCATTTCAAGAGATACCATATGAACAAGAGCCAATGATACTCAGAGAGGAAGTCCAAAGTG